CCTTCACCTTGCTGGGGTGGAGTTCATGCAGGAGGCATGCTCGAATTTAGTTTTCCTTGAGATGCAGATGGCTCTAGAACAAGGAGTCAAGCTGGAAAGGTGAGCAGGGGATGAGTCTGTGCTGTTTCTGACAGTCCCAGGAACGGGATTATCCCAGAAAAGAACCAGACAGCATATTCCAAGAAAAACAGAGGAAGGACTTTTATCTTTATCCGCCTAGAGCATGCGTAACTGGGGGAGCTCCAGGAAGGGAAACTGGGCTGGTGTGGTTTGGTGGGTGAAGCAGATGGGAACAGGGGCCTCACATCTGGTCTGCGTTGCTGACTCCCTTTCCTCTGCTCTGTGTTGCACAGATGCCAGAGAGTTGGTCATCCCACTCCACGAGGGCCGCATGTACCATCACTCAGATTCTCACCACTTCTGCTACACCAACACGCGTGTCCCACAATGGCACGACATATGGACGAGAACACAGGTGAGAGGAGAAGGCAGGTCCTCCCGGGTCTGGCTGGGCCAAGCCCCTCTGGCAGCTGTGACCATGCTCCCGTTTGCTTCCCTCCCCTGTACAGATCCGGGTCAACAGCAGCCGGATGATCCGAGTCACCCAGGTGGACAGCGAGGAGGCTCTGGAGGAGTTCAAAGTGTGGAATGTTGTTTTCTCCTTCTTGAAGGAGAAGCTGAACGATACCAGCATCGATGTAGATCTCTACAGCAACAAAACCTGCCTGAAGGTCGAGCTGCTGGAGGCCGGCACCACCTACTGCGTCGTCCTCTTCCGACGTACGTCTCCTCTGTGGTGGGGGCTCCTGGGGTGGGAGGTGGGTCTGGCTGTGCTGGTGCTCTTGAGGGGGCAATGAGGACGTGGCCAGGCAAGCTCATAGTCTAAGGGCCAGCAAGGCTGGTCTTTCCTTGGGAAGGAAAGTGGGCCTGCAGAGGGAGGCATGACTTTGTCTATGGGATATAAAGGGGGGGAATTTAAGGCACTTGTCGGAGGTTCACCTGGAACACTACCCCTTCCCTGTCCTTGTGACCATGTGGCAGGCTGGACCTCAACCCAGGGGGCACCATGCCAGAGTTCCTCTCAACCTGGACTCCCTCTTTTTCTAGGCTTTGACCCTAAGCTATTCCTAGTTTTCTTCCTGGGCCTGTTGTTGTTCTTCTGTGGAGACATGCTGAGCAGGTGAGTCACCTCCTTTCCCCTGTGAGCTGGGGACAGGGAGGGTTGGGTGGGCAGTGCCTGGTTGGCTCTGCAGCCTGCAGGCTCTGGCGGGAGGGGGGTTGCTCCCAGCGGGCGTGTTTGTGCGCAGGCATCCATGAGCTGTAAAACACCTTGTGCACATGTGTGATCTCTGCAGGAGCCAACTCTTCTACTACTCAGCCGGGATTAGTTTTGGCTTGCTGGCCTCACTGCTCATCCTTGTCTACATGATGTCCAAGGTCATGCCCAAGGTGAGTGTCAGGCCATCTGAGGATGAGAGACCTCACAGCAGTAGCCCTTTTTACATCCATACGGTTGTTCTGGTGAGAATGCTGCAGTATGTGGCCTTGGGGTGCTGGGTTGTGGGTCTGGCTTTGCATGGAGCAAGGCTCAACAGGTAGGGGGATGTAGCCATGGCTGCCCCACTGCCTGTCTCGAATTTCCCATCTTCTCTCCTAGAAAAGTCCTGTTTACTTCCTGCTGGTAGGAGGCTGGTCCTTTTCCCTGTACCTGCTTCAGCTGATCTTCAAGAACCTACGGGAGATCTGCAAGTCCTACTGGCAGTACCTCCTAGGTAGGTGTGAACCCTTCAGACTCTCCCGTTCACCAGTCTGCGTGTCTCCTACTGGAGCTGCAACGTGCTGGTTGAAAATGTTGAGGCTTCCTGCCCCCCTTGTTGCTGCAGACACTGCCCTCATGCTCCTGAGGGAGGTGGGCTCTGGTGTCAGATTTAACTGCAGCCCTGGCAGATGCTGCTCAGCCAGCTCCTGTCAGCCAGGCTGAGCCCACCAGTTCATGCCTGCCCGATCCCTCTGCTCTCCCATAGGCTACCTGCTGCTTGTGGGCTTCGTGAGCTTCGGTGTGTGCTACAGGTACGGCCCGCTGGAGAACGAGCGCAGCATCAACCTCCTCTCCTGGGCCCTGCAGCTCCTGGGCCTGTTGCTGATGTACTCGGGCATACAGATCCATCCCATTGCCTTGGCCTTGGTGGTCATCGCTGTCTGCACCAAGAATCTGGACTACCCCATGCAATGGGCCTTCGCTGCCTACAGGTGAGGACTTCACGCACCCTGGCTTGCTCCTGATTCCCAGCAGTTGTTGGGCCTGGTTGAGCTGCTAGATGGAGTCTGTGTTGCAGAACCGGGGCATTTTTGCTGGGGCTTGAGGCTGGGGTGGGTATACTGGCGGAGTTGCGTCCCTTTTTCCCTGGGTTGGTGCAGGAGAGTGCCCTGCTCCTCCTCGTGGCTGGGAGCCTCCCTCGGGAGCAAGGAG